CCGATGCGGGGCTCGATCCCACGACCCCGGGATCATGACCTGAGCCGAAGGCAGACGCTTAACGGACTGAGCCACCCAGGCGCCCCGAAGAGGGGACTTCTGAGTGGAGACGTGGACGGGGGAGTCTGGCTGAGAGAGTGGAGGAGAAGGGTTCTGGGCAGTGGAGGAGTAGGTCCCAGGGCCTCTGTCACCTGGCGTCCGCCTTTGGCCTCTGCAGATGTTCCACACGCAGTCCCAGCAGGGCACCGTGCTGCACCCCACGTGCATCTTTGCCAGCAGCCCCGAGGCTCTGCACACGCAGGAGCGGAAGGCCGGGGCCGGCCAGGCCAGCCGAGGTACTGTGAGTGCAGGCGGGGAGAGCAGAACCCCTCGGGAGGGGAGGGGCGGAGGGACAGGGACCTCGGGATGTCCCTCACCCTCTGGGGTTACCCCCTGGCTCCCACCCACACTCTGCCTCCGCTGGGGCTGCCGACATGGGAGCGGCAGGTGTGGGGCCTTCGGGGTCCCAAAGCCAGACCTCTCGGGGAGTCGCTCCCACGCGGAGCCCCGCCCTGGGGCGGTGGCGGCTGATGGGGCACTGTGGCCACACCCCCGGAGGCTGGAGCTTTTCGCCAGTAGAGGGGACCTGTCCCGTGGGCCCTGTGAACACCCCGGCTTAGTCCTGGCCGTGGGGGCACGGAAGGCAGCGTCCAGGCGCTTGGCCGGAGGGAGCAGCCGGCTGAGGCCGCAGCAGGCCAGGCGGGGTCTCAGCCGGGCGCCCTCCCCAAGGCACAGGCACGGGCTCTGGGACGCAACTCCTCCCTGTCCTTGTTTGTAAACAAAGTAACCGCGTTAAAATGTCAGCGTTAACCCCAAAAGCTAAGGTTTATGATTTTAAACATCAAAGGTAGAATTTGAAACTTTGCTCCCAGATCTTTAACTGTTGTAAATTCCTAGACAGTTCATCCTCTTCCTGTTACATTGTTTTTCCCTTTATTTTTTCATTTTGAAAAATCCCAGACCCCATCCAAGTAGAGAATGGGATGAGCCCTTGGTACCCTCACCCAGCTTCCTGCCACCCCGTGTCTTCCGTCACCTCACGTTTTTCTCCTTTTTGCTGGGATCAGGTCCCAGACGTCCTATCATTTAGAAGTGTAAAAATAAGGACTTTTTTTTTGCACTACGAGAACGCTATCGCACCTAACGAAAGTAGCAGTATTTCTTAACGTGTGTAAATGGCCCGGGGGGGACTGGCAGCCCTTGGGGGGACAGACCAGCGCAGGGGCTGCTGAGGGTAGGAGATCGGGTGGCGGGGTGCCCTGAGCTGCCCTGTGGACTGTTTCAGATGACAAGGACAAGATGAGCAGCAAGCACCAGCTCCTCGCCTTCGTCTCCCTGCTGGAGACCAACAAACCCTACCTGGTGAACTGCGTCCGCGTCCCCGCTTTGCAGGTGGGTCCCAGCCCCGCGCAGCCCGACTCGCAGGTCTGACAACTGTGTCCCCGGGGCAGGAGGCCGGGGTGGGCCTGAAGAACTGCCCTCCCCCAGCTGGCTGCTGGCTCTGCATTCATGTCTGCATTCCGTAAGCACTTGCTGTGTGCCCTGGACCTGTTGCAGGCAGTGAATAAGACCAGACCCGGTTCCCGCTGTCCCAGAGCTCACGTCCAGCTGGGGAGGATGGTAATAAGGACAGTAAAGCAGTGCCCTGTGATATGTTAGCGGATGAGGAATATTTGGGGAAAATGAATAGGGTAAGGGGGTTGGGGGGGCGGTGAGGGTAGGGAACAGGCTGTAATATGAAGTGATCAGAGTTTGGGCCTCATCGAGAAGGTGCAGTGGAACAAGGGAAGAAGGGAGGGAAGGAGCCACAGAATACGTAGGGAGAAGAGTGTCTTGGAACAGCAAGTGCAAAGGCCCCGAGGCACACACATGCCCACCGTGCCCAGGGAACAGCTGGACCAGAGGTGGTGAAGGGACGAGTGGCGTCAGAGAGATGAGGTCGGAGAGGCTGGAACCCCCACCCCCCGGAGGGTTTGAGCAGAGCTGGAACAGGGTCCGATGTGGGGCAGTAGCAGGAGCCCAGCAAGGAGGCGACTGCAGTCATCTGGGGAGGAGAGGGTGGTGGCTGGCCCCGGGTGGAGGCCGAGGACACGCTTGGGTTGCGGATAGATCGGGGTATGTGTCTGGAGCCAGGAAGGGAGAGTCCTGCCGGCATTAGCTGCCCCACCCCGTGAGTTCCGCACGCTGCCATGAGGCTCGGGGGGGCATGTCGCTTGTCTGAGCCGCACAGTGAGCAGGGGACCCAGCCAGAGCTCCGGGGCCCCACGCCACACCTCATGGCTCCTCTGCCTGTCAGCTGGGGGTCCCCGTAACCAGGCCCCCTCGCTTCAACCCTGGGGAATGCAGAGGGAAGGGAGAAAGCCCGCGGGCTCCCTGAGCCTCCGGAGATTTTGCCGGCGCCTTGCTCTCTGCCTGCGCCCGGAATGCTGACTCGAACCTGCTCGGTTCGTCTTCACTCAGACACGATCGAGCAGCTGCCTGGCACTAGGCGCTGCTTCCTGATCTAGGTGCTGGGGATGCGGTCGTGACCGGAATCCCAACACGGCCCGCATTCCTGGGGCTCCCAGAGGCGTGGGGGAGGCAGACAGTAAACAGAAACACCAAGAGATAGGGGTGTGAATGCCAGGTTCCCCCAGCAGCGCTAGAAAGGAGCAGAGTGGGGTTGCGGAGCAGCGTGGTGGCGCCGGGTAGGACTTCGGTGAGGAAGCAAAGATTCAGAGCGGAGATTCTCTGCCGCATGCTTGGGGTCTGATGGGGCGTTTCTCACACACACAAAAGAACAGCAGGCGGAGCAGATCCGTCCGTGTCCCCCCATCAGTCCGCTACAATAGCCGGGGGTTTTTCCATTTCCTGACGCATTTTAAAGTAAACGGGCTGGAGTCAGGGCCCTCAGCATCTGTCTGTCAACTAGTGTTCAGTTCTTGTTTGTACATTTTGAGGGTAAAGCGTAGGTAGTGACATGTACAAACGGGAGGGATGCCGAACAAGGAGGTGTTGACAGAGCATCTGTGTCAGCTCAGCCCTGTGGTGACACGGGAGGATGACCCTGTCTTCTTAGAACCTAGTACAGTTTACGCTTTAACCTTGGTTGGTCTCTCTCTCCAAGTACCAAGTTTGTTCTGTGGGGGCAGGGACCCTCGTTTGCAGCCGAGGCTGGAAGGGGTCCTGGCACACGGGGGCGGGGGTGCAGTAGGTGTTTAATGGGAGGTGGACACATGGGGTCCACGGACAAGGGGGGAGAGGAATGAAGGGTGGGCAGGGGTCTGAGCTGGCCTCCTGCCCCGCACACCCACCGTCGACCTCCTGTCCCCTCTCTTCCAGTCCCTCCTGCTCTTCAGCCGGTCCCTGGACACCAATGGGGACTGCTCGCGCCTGGTGGCCGACGGCTGGCTGGAGCTCCAGCTTGCGGAGAGTGAGAGCGCTGTCCGCCTTCTGGCAGCTTCCGTGCGGCTCCGGGCCCACTGGGAAAGCGCCCTGGACCGGCAGCTGGCCCGTGAGGCCCAGCGGCGGTGGCCAGAGGTGGATCAAGAGGAGGAGGCGGCTCCGGTGGACCACAAGGAGGTGGCAGACCTGAGCAGGGACCTGCTGCAGTTTGCGGCGTCCAAGGTACGTGCCGCCTGGGCCAGAGGGACCGCCCGCCATGGGGCTTCAGAGTCCAGAAGGCCTGGCTTCCAGCTCCTTGTGGGGGTTTGCAAACCGGACAGGCCGAGGCCAAGCCCAAGGTCACACAGCAGGGGAGGGGCAGAGCAAGGATTTGACCCCGGGAGCCCAGCTCCATAGACCGAGCCATTAGCCCCTGCGGGCCCCTCCCCACCAGTTCAACATGCATTTATTGAGCACCCACTACATGTGCTGTGTGAGCTACCCTCAGTAAGAGTTAAGGGCGTGCAGGCTGGAGAAGGAAGCTGTAAGTAGCCATCCGTTCACGGAGGGCACAGGGGAAGATCAGTTCCCCACCTCGTCAGCGGGGAGTTGGGAATTGCTCCTGATTCTACTGCGTGTGGATGGGGCGCAGAGAAGGGTGTGCACCAGAGTGATTTCCTGGAGCGGTGGGTCCAGGGAGCCAGGGCAGGGGGATCGGACCAACGTGCTGGGTGAGGATGGGCAAGGTGGCCCGGTGGCAGGTCTGGTTGTGGTCCCCCAGGTGACAGGGAGCAGAGAAGGGGCACCAGGGCGTGTGTTAGACAAGCCTGTGGTAGCCAGTGTCTGAGACTGTTGTGATTGACTTAAGCAGTTGGCCCTCCTACTGAACCATCCAGGTGCCCCAACCGTGTCTCCCTGAGTCCATCTCTCCTTTCCTGTCCTTCCTTCCCCAGGTTCCCTACAGCCTCCGGCGGCTCACAGGGCTTGAAGTCCAGAACCTATATGTGGGACCCCAGACCATCACCACTGCCCCCAGTCTCCCCGGCCTCTTTGGCAGTTCTCCCCTCTCCCCCCACCCCACTAAAGGGGGCTACGCAGTCACTGACTTCCTCACCTACAACTGCCTCGCGGTAAGCATGGACCCCATTTGACCCATCACCCCCCTGCCCCTGAAGATGGGATCTGAGGGAGTCCCGGCCTCCCCACCAGCCACGTCTCATCTTAGTGCAAAGACGTGGTTTCAGCATGGGGCCTCCCAACCCCGAGGGGTTCTGGGACGGGGCTACGTCCTGATGCAGCCTTCCTGCCCCAGAGCGACACGGACCTGTACAGCGACTGTCTCCGCACCTTCTGGACCTGCCCCCACTGTGGCCTGCACATGCCCCTGACGCCCTTGGAGCGCATGGCCCATGAGAACACGTGCCCTGAGGCCCCGCAGGACAGCCCCCCAGGTAAGAATGTGGGGGCAGGCTGGGGCACTGTGTCCGCCCGCCCCTCCCGCGGTGGTTTCCTGCGAGTCTGGGCGTTCATCCGCTCGACACCTGGGGACTGAGGACAACCCCGACTGGAGCCACATCAGGCTTTGTCACAGAGACCAGGAGCCGGGGATGGGAGGGCCCAGAACATCCCCTCTTTCTCATTTCGCTGTGTCTGTTGTTCTTTTCTCTGTCTCGGTCACACACCCCCATTGTCACCCCGGGCATGTACCGCACACCTCCCGCCAGGGCTGGTCCGGGAGGCAGCAGTGGGTGTCCCAGGGGGTGACAGAGACACAACAAGAGACACAGAGTAAAGACTTGCCTGTGTGCATGTGTTAATCCAGGAAGGCTTCCCAGAGGAGGGAGAGCCCGGGGCCAGGAGAAAGCCTGAGCGCCCCCTCCCCCCCCCGCCCCGGGACT